GTAACGGGCTCTCTATTGCGGATTTACTAAACACTACAAATGAGCTCCAGGTTGTTTCTTATATGTCTAACTAGAAAGTTTCTTCGGTTATTAGAGATTTGTTGTGGAACCTGCCTAGCTGCTTTAATTCTTCTACTATTTCTGTTATTAGCTCCATTCACATTAACGATTTTGTGGAAAAACATCTTTGGTTGGGAGACCAGAATCCCAATTTTCACAAATTTCAGGAAATTTTATATGGCAATCTGGACAAAGTTTACTGGCACAAGCTTTTTTGGCAAAAAAAAGCTGCTTTAAGATTCTCTAGTTTTACTTGGATGGCTTTCAAGGGTGGCCTTAAAACTGCGGATGTTTTAGCTATTCGTGGGATTAGAATTGGTACCAAATGCTATTTTTGTTTTGCTGAAACTGAAACTACCTCCCACCTGTTCTTTGAATGCATTTTTACCATTAATATTATCAAGAAATTCTTACCCTGGTTGGGTAATCACCTGATGCGGCCCAATCTTCATCAAGTTCTGGATAGTGTTTTGGATCAAAGGCTATCTAGTATTCAAAACAGCTATTACTTATTATCTAGCTGTGCTACTGTTTACTTCATTTGGAGGGCTAGAAATGACAGACTTTTTGGTGGCATTTTTTACTGTCAAGCCACGGTAACAGCGAAGATTACTCATGCAGTTAGCAGGAAAACTGCTAAATGGAAGCTTACCCATAACACTTACTAATGGATCACTATCTTGTTCGTCGATTGGGTTTTGCTTTGCTAGCAATTTTTTTTGGAAGGACCATGATGATCGCTGCCTTTGCAGCAGCCCTTTGGATGGTCTTACTGGCAACCAAGGGCATGGCATGGTGCAGTCCCTTCAAGCTTTTGACCCTATCCGAGTTCACCATTATATGCCTCCTGAATCCTTCATGCTCTTATGAGTTCTTTATTCTTTTCAATTGTAATTTTTGCATCTTTGGCTTCTCTTTTTGTTGTTGAGGGCCAAGACTTTAGGTTTTTCTTTTACTTACTTGTAAGTTTCTTTTTCATCAATGATACGGGCTATGCCCCTAAATTTCCCAAAAAAATCAAATAAATTAATTATACAATATAATGGGAAAAAAAGAGATTTGAGCCTCATTCAAACCTAGTTTTTATTATTAGGTATGAAACAAATATTTATAAACTAAGTTCGAAGTAGGTTTAAACTAAGTTTGATTGAGGTTTGAAAAAAAAATGAACCTAGCTCAAACATTATTCGAACTTTATTAAAATCCATGTTTTTGAATCAAATGGATGAATCAAAGGTCAGAAGCAACGATTAGAACAAAGTTTTAATCTTTTATTACACTTCCAAACACATCTTATTTGGTCTCGAATTTAGATTAAGGCTTTGTTTGTGACGGATTTTTTATTGCTTCTTAAAATGGAGTTTTAGTACAAAAATTAAAATTTTTTAACTAAAACTCCATTTTAAGAAGCAATAAAAAAACTGTCCCAAACGAAGTCTTAATCATATATTTGCATTTGAACAAAATTCAAAGCCAATAGCATGAGTTCAGCCCTTGTTAAAGCATATGTTTCAAACATCATGTTAGTCCAACAACTTCAAAATCGAGGTTTGAAAAATGTTTAAACAAAGTTTGTAATTTTAATAAGAGGTTCTAACCTTGTTCCATTCTATATTTCAATCCTTGGTTTGTCTAGTAAATTCAAGAATGATATTCAAATAAAGTTCAAATTATAATCAAAGGTTCAAACTTGTCTTTTGAACATTGGGGATCATTCAATTGCACCAAAGCTAAAGCTCAATTGAAGCTACATGACTTTGTTCGACCACAATTTGAAATAGAGAATCAAATTATTAGAATTTTTAACTTTATTTAAACCTTATTTAAACCTCACTTTCGTTTCTATTGGGTGAATCCAAGGTTCAAAACAAAAGGTTCAAATAAGATTCGACAAATTTTATGAGTTTCAAATCTTGTTCATACTGAAAGTATAAGATTCAATCATTTTCGAACTCAATAATATGTATTCGAATGAAACCTACTTGGGATTTAATCCCAATTTAAAGCTTAGATTATAGCTTTTATTTTTTTTTTTTTTTTTTTTTGAACTTTATATAAATTTAGTGTTCTAACCTATTATTTGAATAGCTTGTTCCAACCTTTTTTTTTCTCTGCTTTCTCCTATAACGAGATCTACTGATGGTGACAAGGACAATGAATGCACCATAATCTTGGTTAAAGAAAAACATTGACACTAACCTTGGCTGTCTGTATTGGAATGAATCATGTGAGACATTTTGTTTAACATTTTAATGTAGGGGTGAGATAGCAAGAAAATTTGCAGAAGAAAATGCTTGGAAAATAGTTCAAGGTGTTAACTAGTTTGAACATTCACGTTAACATCATAAAGTATATAATATAATGGGGCTTGGATGATCTAAAATAATTTTATCGGGTGAATGTTGATTACAAATAATTGGGCGTCCATAAATTGGATAAGATGAGATTACAAGAGTATGAGTTAATAGAAGAAAGTTTCATAGAGTTGCTAGTGGGCCAGAGGTGTTTGGATGATTGTAGTCGAATGACGGCAGATGTTGGATGGGGGTGGTCCAACGATGATGGTTCGATGATAACTATTAGACAGTGTTTAGATGGTGGTAATCAAATGGCGATTGTCCTATGGTGGCTCGACGACAACAATCCAACAATGATGGTCCTGCATCGGTTAGACGATGGCTGAAAATGACTGGCGGTGGTCGATGGTGGCCTTTGTTGAAGCTCCTGAAATATTCAAGCATATGTGCTCTCTTGAATCTCAATATAATAATCCCCATCATGCAAAAGTGGCGAACTATTTATAAATTTTGAGAGTGATATCACTTATAAATATAACAAAACCTAAAAAGCTTCATCAAATGTCCCGTACTGATTTTCTTGATCACATACCACTCTTTTTCATATTTAAGTACCTTAATGATGTAGAACTAAGCAATTTTGTCTCATCTAGATGCTTTATTTGATTATCAGTATGCAAAATTTGAATATCATTTGATTTTTAAATCAACATCCAAAAATTTATAATCATTCTTTAAGTGCATGTTTTGGGTGTGGGCCTCCGAAGGAGCACCGCTCGCGGGGGTTCGAATGCAGAGGGTACGGCCGCACTATCCCGTAGGACAAAACGATCGTAGGCCTCTACGCTCGACACGAACGGGTCGATGGGAGGGCAGATTGGATCGCGCATACGACTGACCATTGGGGATAGATGCTGTCGCCAGCACACCCCGATGGGTAGCAATATACACGACCTAGTCACGGGTTTCCCCCACCCGATACGAGAGATCGAGTGGGGTAAAGTAGATTGCGGGGCCAAGTTTCCCACGGGCGCAAGCCCCCGTGGTTAATTACATCCCGGGCCGGAGCCCGAGAAGACTCTCGATTAAGGATCATACATTATCTTTTCTAAATTGGGATTAGCACGAGGGTATAGACTAGGAAATCCTACTCAAAGGAAAGAAAGGTCTCAAAGAGGCTCAATCAACATGCATGGCTCATACCAGCATTCGGAGGCTCTAGGGTACTAGAGAGAAACTGGAGAAAGAAAGACAAGCAATCAATCACATGCGTGAGAGAAAGATGGAGGTGGCGTCATCCTGTGACGCAGATAAGTAGGATTTAAGGTCCCTGAAAAGAAGGAACCTACCTACTATTTAAGGCATACTACGAGACCGAATGTAGTATCCTCGACTCCTAAATCTAGGTTGGGATTAGTGCTCTACGAAACACTAATACCCGTGTCCTAGCTAATGCAGTGCAAAACCTGGACTTATCCCGGCCTGGATTGGGGGAGCCAGCTAACCACCTAATCGATTCAAAGCCATGCTGTCAAGTCAATTATGAAAGATGGGTGGATGGTATAGTTCTTTGGAAATAGGACCGACATCTAGAGAATTTCCTAAGTGGCCCTGGACTTATGGGGGTTAGATGCTCCTAGCTAATGCAATTAAATTTTAATTAAATTGATTTCTAATGCAATGCATGCTAGTTGAAATGTCAGCTCATGAATGCTATAGAATTTTAAAAAACAGGCTTATAAAAATAATTTTTTTTGAAAAGACTGGGTCTCCCTAGGTCCGGCACTTCATCCTCATAGGCCAGATTATCCGGACTCAACCCGCAGGCAGGGAGATGTCTTATAACAAGGAAAGAAAGATGCAGTAATATGCATGCGA